TTTTAGACTTTTAGTTTGTTCTTTTAATTCTAACCCTTAAAAGTTCAATTCTAATCTTTAATTTTAACCCTTAAAAGTTTGAAAACACTTAAGTACTTAACTATCAATAACATTGAAAAAGAAAAATATAAGATAGTTAAAAAAAATGAAAGCCCGACCCGCCCGAACCCGCTAGGCCCGAACCCGTACGGACCCTATAGAACCCGAAAAATCCCAGCCCGCCATCAGCCCGTTAACAACCCGCCTGTAACCCTAACGGGCTGACCATTTTTGTGTCCAGCCCGCCCGATAAACACCTATACTTTAAACCCAATTTTCGTTACCTATTTGTCCTAAGAATGTGATTCCTTAGACAAGGGCTGATAAAATTTAATATTTTTCAAATGTAAAAAATTGACTCTTTCTGGAATAGAGTTAAAAAGAAAGATAATGAGATGAGAAAGTATTAATGTGCATGAGACAACCCTTGCTTAGATATACTGAATTTTTTTTATAAGCAGAGTTTTACTTTAAAAAAATTCATCTCAATGTATTTTATACTTCAGTCCAACTTTCAATGCTAATTTTTAATGGACAAAATCCAACACGGTTGATCCAATCTCTGTTTTAAAAAGCAGAATTGGGACTCGCTCGGGGCTCACTCTCGGGCGGAGCACTCGTAAAACGTCCCTGAATTTATGTGTGGGACTTAGTTCCGTGAGACTTACGCTTCGGCCATCGGGGCTTATGCCCCTGACACGCCCAACGCCCAGAGTACTGGCTCGCTTAATAGGACTTTATGCAATTGTATGTAACTAACCTTGTAAATCCTCAAATTTTCTTAATAAATTGTTGACTATTTAAAATTACTTTTTTCTTAATCATAAATCATTAAGTTGAGAGTGTTTTATGTCATAATTAAAATAAAAATTATTGCACGTTATCCACTAAGACTGTTATGATAGTTAATTTTAAATAAATCTTTCATTTAAAAATTATTTATTTATTAACTTTGTTATGTCTTTACTATATAATAATCCATAATTTTTTTTATAATTATTTTTCTAAATATATTTTTTTTCATGTTTACGAGATACAATACTTATTAATTTAATACCTCAGTATTAGCTAATAACTATTTATAAATAATTAGTATCATGATATTGTATGGTGAATTATGTGTCACTTAATTAACTTGTTGAAACTTAAAAATAAATGATGATAGAGAATCATATTTAAATTGTGAATTATATTTTTATATAAATTCTCTTTCAAATAGAAAGCATATTAAATAAAAGGAGTATTTTAAGAAAAGTATCACATTATAATATCGAAATTCTTTCAAGATTCGTTACTCCTTAAGAGATACATATAAGATTTCGTATTGAATACATTACTTTTGATGTTTGAGTTGTAATTGCGTTGCAGCTAATTTGCATATTATGATATTTGTCATACTTTTCATATTATTCATAG